AGAGAGAGAGAGGAATTAAAACTAATTAATTTTGAGGGGCCCAAAATTAGGCTATGACATTAATTGAAACAAATTATGATGTGAATTTTAAACAATTAATAAAACAAATACAACTACCATATTGATCCGGCTAACCATTCAATGGACATAACCCAATCACCAACAAACTCATATTTCGGTGATAGGCTATTTTGATATAAATTTAAGGTTATCACTAGAGAAACAAAAAACAACATAGTTATAAAAAAAAAAAAAAAAAAAAAAAACTATATTAATCACAAATTTGGTAACTTTACTCCTAGAGAAGATGTTTAAAGATAATAGAATAAAAAAAATCTAATAAATAAATTTGGTAGCAATAACCTATTTTGATGATAGACTATCTTAATATAAATTTAGGGTTATCACTAGACAAACACAAACAACACTATAACTTTACTCCTAGGACATGTTTTTAAAGCTAATGAAATATGAAAAATCCAATAAACAAATATTGATGTTAATAGTGAAAGTAGAAAAAATTAAATTCGAAAAAAATAAATAAAAAGAAAAATTTCATTAAACAAAGGAAATAATAAATTTGAATAAAAGATAGATAAGAAATTGCTTTTGAAGAATTAAAAAGAAAAATTTTACTAAACAAAAGAGATGATGGAAATGATAAATTTAAATAAAAAATGGATAAAGAAAAAGAAAAAAAAGATTCTATAACAATTAACAACTTTTAATTGAGATAGTTATGATTCAAGTAACATTACACTAAGAGTATTTAATAATATTTTGTATCCTAAAATCATATCATATTTAAGATAATTACCTTATGAGTACATCAAATTTTAAAATTTTTTTATTTGAGTATATCAATTTTTTCAAAATAATCAATCAATATATATTAAATTTTTCGTTAATTGATGACGTATCCTTTATCTTAGAATACCAAATTACAATTTTGCTCTTTTTTTCTCAACACAGTAAATGAACTTAATTTTTTACAATTAAGTAAACTAATTTTTTCCTTTAATTTTTTTCATTTAAAATTAACTAAGTTCAGTTTGAGGTTTTATATTTAAAAATAATATATTTTTAATTTTTTTGTTAAATTTTGAAATAGTAGAATAATTTGTGGGAAAGTTCTCTAAAAACAAAAGAGCAAATTTATATTTTGATATTCTAGAAATAACATATACTTTATTAATTAATGAAGAAATTAACAGAAAAACTTGATTGTTAATTTAAAAAAAAATCGATGTACTTAAATGAAAAAAAATTAAAATCCATATATTCAATTGAGAAAAAAAATAAAATTATAATTTGATATTATGAGGATAATAGACACGTCATTACTTAATGAAATGAATTGATGAAAATAATTTATTGATAATTTTAAAAAAATTAAAATACTTAAAAAAATTAAAATTTATATACTTAATTGAAAACAAATTAAAAATTAGTGTATTTGTTCCTATCATAATGGGATTTATTTGGTTACCGAATGTAAACATGGCATAATCTGGCCCAATGGACAAGCCGACTTGTGGCAAAGTTTGGATCGTTCATTTTGTTTTAAAGCCCAACTAATTGGTCACTCGAGCCTTCCTATTTGGGCGTGAATAGATCAAATTGAAGCAAGCAGAAATCAAATCAAACCGAAAAGAAAGACAGTCAAATTCAAAAAGAAAGAGACATCAAGATTACTAAACGAGACAGACATCTAATCCGTGAATAATTATCATGGGAGAAGAAGAAATTTTAATCGGAGATCAACAAAGGAGGTCACTCGCGGCACCTCTAATCTTCTTTATTGTTGTTGGCTTCCAATTCGTCTCTAGATACCTCGATCAATTAAAGAAGGTAACCCTCTTTAATGTGTTTTTTTGAAACTGAGTTTTTAATGCAAAGAATTGTGGGTTTCCGATAATGAGTCGACGTCAAACTGTTTATTTTTGAAGGATTTTTTGTTGTCTTTGGTGTTTTCTTAGAAGGGAACAAAGAGTGCAACAGAGATTAAATTACGTGCAGAAATTAAGCAATTATTGACAGAGGCCACCTCCTTGTCTCAGTGAGTGTAATATTATTTTTCTGTTTTTTTTTTTTTTTAATTCAGTTTTCGATGCCAATTCTATACAATAGTTTGGATTTGATATGTACGATTTTTATCATGGTATGTCAATGCCAGTAGGTTTTAATTTGATTGCTTCGAATGTAGGCTGTAATTTGAAATCTTCATTGACTGGAAATGCCTTGTGAATTACTGTAACTCCTAGGATCCGAGGCTATTGTTTTCTTGTGATTGCATTCAGCTGATTCAAAATCTATATTCACTTGATATTTGATAGGATGAGTTCTCCCAGGTGGTTATTGCTCATTTATCCTAGAATTTATCTCTACTGACTAGAATAAGTCCTTGGGCTAAGAAGAGCTCCAGCGTTAAGCCTTTGTTTGACTTTTTGCGATCCCATTTTGAAAGGAAAGGAACTTACTGTGCTGGGAACGTAGATATAAAATTTTATAATACAAAAGTGTGGTGTTTAAAACTGTCATTGTTTTCGTTGCACTTCAATTTTTTGTTTGTTTTTACTTTCTAAAAGAGTTTCTAGTGCTATTGTAGCTAGAAGGGAAAAAAAAATGGTTAACATTGTTTTTTAAAGTGGGCAATAAATTATAAGAAGTAAATGGAATTGAATAGGAGCAGAGTAACTATACTCCTCAATTTTTTTTTTCATGGAGAAGAAAACATGCCTGAGTACTTATAATCTAGTATATTTAAAAGTTTGTCAAGTTTTATGAGTTTGCTTGACCTTCCGTAAAGTTCGAGCTCCAAAAGGATGTCTAGATAGTTTTGTTTTATTGAAGTGAGGTTGTGCTACCTAAGAATGCTTGTTGTGCCATTTTTTTTTGGATTCTTTCTTGGTTACAGACCATCAACATTTGCTCAGGCAGCAAAACTTAGAAGGCTGGCAGTAGCAAAGGAGAAGGAACTTGCAAACTGTATGTCTGTTTGCTATTGCAGTCCTTTTAGTTTTTTGAATATATGTTTGTTGCATGTATTTGAATAGTAATGATTTCTCAAGCTATCTTGACTGCGTATGGAACATTTAAGTATTTGCTGGACCTATTTAGGGTCGTGAGAATCGATGCAATATTGCCAACTCCTCTGTTCTTCTTTTTTTTTTTTTTTTTTTTTTGGTGTGGTGGGGAGGCGGGGTTATATTGCAAACTCCTTTTTATCATGAAGACCTATATCTCACTGATTTGAAATGCCATTTTCCAGAATTAATTTGGAGAGATTATATATTTTCTTCTAATTTTATGGTTAAAACAATATATGATTTTGGCGCTTCAAGTTATTAAATCCCCAAACCAAATGGAATATCCTAAAAACCGAGAGTTTTTGGTTTCATGCCTAATTGCTGCTTTGAGTTTTTCATTCTTTTCATCCTTTTAATTTGGTATGTTTTTCACATCCACTCCAGTAGAAGCTTTTAACTTTTTTTTTTCCTTCTCATTCAGATAAAGAAGTGCACGACAAGGAGAAGAAACTTTCTTCTGATTCATACCCGAAAATTCTGTTTATATCAAAGGTGTCAGTTTATTCATCGAAATTGTTTAGAAGTTTATTTGTTTCCTTCAGCAAGGTTACTAACAAACTAACTTGGTATACAGGTTGTGACATACTTTGTGCTCATTTGCTGGTTTTGGAGGACCCCTGTTGCCGAAATATCTCAGCAACTTGTGCAGCCCTTTGGTAACACTTTCTCTTCCCTTCTTCATGTTGAGTTTTGTTGCCTTTTCCCTTTCTTGTTTTGTGAATCCATTATCTTGAGTTTTGTCAGTCTTCTTTATATGTCTGATTGAGGGAGGGGGTTAATTGGCGTACAACAGGAGTAAATGTTTATTTGAAGAAAGAAGAATAAACAAGCTATGATCCATGGCTTATTTCTTTTTTTTTCTTTTTTTTTTTCCCTTTGTTTGTCCTGATTTGTTACATCTGCCTGTCTACAGGAAGGTTTCTATCTTGGACCGGAGGTCGTATAAATAACAATGTCATGGTAATGAATTTTGAACAGTTGTTCTTTTTTTTTTTTAATTTGTTCTTCTTATTGCGGTTAAAACTTTCTCAAAGGATGGGTGATCGTTCCTGGTGTCCTATTTATTTCATGTTTGGATACTCACCCAGGAGAGCTATCACCCTTGATTTCTTCTCTAGGATTACTAGCTCCAATATGTTTGTTTTCCATTATCGTCGAGTTTTGGTCATGGAAATGTTTATTAAGTTTTCAGCCCTATATTTTTATGAAAATTCCTATGCCTATATAGTGTCTAAGATATGGATTCCATGGGAATCTAGCACAGACAAAATTTATTTTGAGCTTCCTTGATTCTTTTGTGCCCCATACATGAAAGAGCAACTTTACTGAAGTTAATCCTGCAAATTATTCCAAAATAGAAGGAAATTTCGAGCATATAACTAGATGCACCTTAGTGATTTTCAAACATTATTTTGATTGCTCTACTGTGACTGCAGGTTGGAATTATACCATGGTTGATATTATCAACCAGGGTTGGCAAATTGGTTTGCCGACTTATCAAGTATTGAGGAGCGTACATCAGCCTTACATCTTCAATGAGAAGTAAAAAAAGCAATCATCAGCTCTGATTTTTGTTGGAAATGAGGGGGCTCGGGATTTAATGGCAGCATATTCTTTCCTTTGTGTATTGAGCTATGATCTTAAAGTTTTCTTGTTTATTTTGGTTGGTGCAAATCTAGTTCTGGTATGACTGCTAGAAAAAGGTTTTTAATTGATATCTTGTATCTTATAGAAAACACAGATGATTACTATATCTCAAACAATTAGCAGTTCATGCTCTATGTTTTCCTCTATGATCTTAAGTAATGTTATCATTCCATTTTTGGAAAATGATAGCTTTAATTTGTTTGGCTGGATATATATACACACACACACACACATATGGGCACATATACCAGTCTAACACTTATGTCATTTGAACTGGCCAAGTCTTTGGATGCACCAGTCCTGGCTTGTCTCAGCATCACTCCCAGGTCTGTCATCTCTTGTCCTTGATTTGAAGTTTAGAACCCTGGGATCTGCCAGTCTTCTCTCAAATTCCTGGCTCTGCTTGCCCTGGCCCGACTTCCAAGTTGTTAGGCCTTGGTGGGACCCCAAGTAGGTTGACCTTGTCTCGACGACTGGGTCATTTGCTCCATTTCTGACTTTCGGGTGTGTAGATCTTTTCTCACCTAGCACCTAGCTCCAACTCCTTGTCATGTCACTTGGGTATGTTATTTGATCCTGGCCTTTAATTGTCTTGAACAGAGGAGATGAAGAGTTCTTTTTGCTGATGGTGTTGGCATAAAAACTGATGACTATTTCCAATTTTTACAGTTCAGATCCGAGCACTGCATTACCTTCATGTAGTAATGTCTCCAAGGATTTCAGAAAGCTGAAGCTAAATTGGTGTGTGGAACTGCTTTCATGCAAGGTGTGTGGTTAATAATGTTGGTAATAAGGAACTTGTTGGAGTTTTTTTTTTTTTTTTGAGGCTGTGGTAAGTTTTTCTTTGAATGATGCAATGTCGATAGCTTACCATTCTTCGATAGTTTTTCTGGAAACCAATGACGGGAATATGTTGTGGGGAAATCAATCGTGGCTTTCTCATATTGAATGCACATGAATGGCAAGGCGTCGCTAGCAATTGAGCCAGGGTATGCAGGTTATTCATGATTGTGTTGTATGTCGTAGTACTGAAACTATGTAGTGTAAACCCTGCAGGAATTACATTCTTTTTGCAATCAATTGGAACCACTCATGTCATCTGCTGGGAGGCCAAGATAATCAGTAAGAACCATGCGTGCTGCTCATCCCCAGAAACTTTAGAAACGCTGGTGCTATATAATGTTATTGTGTTTTGTCCCTTTTAAAGAAATTAAGATGGATTGAATTAATTACATCTTGTATTATTGATCTTCGTTTTTGATTTTTTTGGTTAACTTCACATCTATATGTATAACAGGGTTAGGTATATCAATTTGCAAGTAAAATTTCCTGCTTGGCACAGTTCTTATTGTCATTGGGGTCGGAAAAATTCGGGTCCTAATTAGAGAAAACCAAGAAAGGACTCCTCTCTTAGAACTGAAATGGACTTATCTAATCTACGAGCCATTTTTTGTTCTCTCTATCTCTGGTACAGCAGTTGTATTGAGAATTCTTGTTACATTTACTGCTAATATTACATTTTAGTATTTATAGCTCCACACGGGACCAATGGGTATACATTGAAACCTAAATGAAATATATATATATATATGAATAGTACAAAAATTAAATTGAATATCACCGTCTCATGCTTGAAATCCTAAATTTGACCATCCACCAGGATCATCTCAAAGATGGTATTGAATTGTTTCTATTTTGAAAAAACTTCAATATAAGTCTTTCTCAATTAAGGCCCAAACCTATAAAATTTATTAATTTCATTCTAGACGTTTTTAAAATTTCTCAATTGGATTTTTTTGTTAATTTTTATCTTTTTTTTTTTTTTGTCATTTTTTCATCAAATTGACGCTGTTTTAATGCATACATATGCACATTAGAATCTAAAATGTTAATGTCCATAGACCTTTCTTGTAATGTATAGATGTGCACATTAGACAAAAATATTAAGGTCCATTGACCTTTATTGTCAAATTTTGTTCAAATTGATGTTGTTTTAGCACATCAAATATGAACGGTAGACTTAAATTACTAAAGAAATTGATTAGAGAATGCAATTGAGAAATGCGGCAAATGTTTGTGATGTAATCGATAAACTATATAGGTTTGGGATATAATTAAGAATGGGTATATAGGTTTTATACTCAATCCAGGTTTTCCTCCTTTTTTTTTTTTGGGAAAAAGAAACATACTACTGCAATAAAAGAGGTTGTGAATAAGGTTGTCTAAAGAATGATACGTGCGGACAAGATTAGAAGTGGAATGGGTGATGAAAAGATGAAAACCTAATTGTCATTGAATTGCTAGATTAGGGATTCACCAATTAGAGATGTAATTGCATCAATTTATGTTAGGCCACATCTTCGAAGGAATGTTATTGGTTTATTGTGTATTTTTGGACTAGTTATGTTTATTAGATGTTATTGTCGATTAGGAATAGTACTATAAAAAAGCGAAAACAAAACATAGGAATATACAAGAATTATAACAAAATTGTCTTTTTCTCTCCTCCGTTCCTTCTTGTCTCTTTCCTCTCTCTATTTTCTTCTTCTTCTTTTTTCTACCCTACTTGTATCACTAGTATCGGAGCAGTCGCTCTTTGGACCTTCAACATATCTTAACGAGTCGGAGGAAGCTTTCAAGGTGTTAGCTCAAAACACCTCTAAAAAGTTTGAAGCAATGACTTAAAGATTAAGAAATCATTCTGAAAAATGAGAACAAGTTCATAAACAATAAGAAGATGGGTTTGTAGAGATTAAGAACCTATTGATGAAAAAAGAGCTAAAAACCAATGCTTTAGGTGTGATGAGACTTATGCTCAAGGGCATAGACGTAACCAAAAACATTTTTACTCCATTCAAATAGAAGATGAAGATGAAATTGAGGAATTAGATATGACGGAGGAACAACGGACTATTGAGGAATCTCAAGAGGTCCTTATCCGTCACATTTTTGCCAATGCCTAAGAGGGATGAAGTGGGTTTAAAACCACGAGAATTACGAGCTACTTGAACAAGCAAAATCCTACACTTCTTAGTGGATTCGATTCCATTCACAATTTCTTAAATCTGCTATAACAAAAAATTAGGTTATGGGCTATCTCCTATGAAGCCTCTAGCTATAAAGGTTAGTAATAGGGGAAATCATGCTTTGCATAGTAGTATACAAGGGGTTTCGAGTGGGTTATGCAAAGAGTTTAATTATATGTAGTTGTGTTAGTTATGGAACTTTACAATAGCAATCTAGTTGGGAGTTCATTGGTTATCCTAGTTTAGAAACATTGTTTTCAACTACCAAGAAATATGGATGAGGTAGTAGTGGAAGGAAAAATAAATTAAATTAATAAGACACTAAGATGCTAGAATGAAAACAATTTTCAATTCACAAATGCGAAACTATTAGAAAATCCCACTCAAGTGGCACAAGCACACCTCCGCATCATGTCACCACTTAAGCTTGCCACATTAGTAGAGGGAAATGTGACAACAATTCTCACTTGTCAGCGAGTAGCCCCAAGTTCATCCAGCCACATCGTAGACTATCCTCTTTGAGTCAAAGTCAATGCCATTAACCAAGTCCCATGGCCATAGAGTGGCTCTCCAGAAGGAGCCCAACTTATTAATGAAAAACCATATAGATATTCGAAATATAGAAATATATGATGGAACAATTAGTGGATGAAATGCTATCATTAAGAATTATTCAACATAGTGTTAGCCCTTTTTGCTTCTTCGATGGTCTTAGTTAAGAAAAAGATGGTTTATAAAGGCTATATGTTAACTCGTTGAACACTAAACACTATCACCATCAAAAATAATTTTCCTATACCCTTGATTGATAAACTGCTAAAGGAATTACATGTGACTATAACGTTTTCAAATATAGATTTACAATTTGGATATCATCATATTAGAATGTTTCATTTGATGTACCATAAACAACCTTTAAAAGCCACAATGGCCACTATGAATTCCTAGTTATGCCTTTTGACCTTACTAATACCCCAACAACTTTTCAAAGTTTGATGAATGATATATTTAGGGCTTATTTAAGGAAATTTATGTTATTTTTATTATTATTATTATTATTTATAATATATTGATTTATAGCAACACTTTACAGGACTATATCGTTCACTTACGGGCATTCTTGATACTCCAACAATCTCACAAACTGTTTGCTAAGCTAAGCAAATGTATTTTTAGTAGTGAAAAAATTGAGTATCTTAGGCATTACATTTCAACACAAGGTGTCTTTACCCATCCAAAGAAGATTCAAGTAGTAGTGAATTGGACCATTCCTAAGAATTTGAAGCGAGTTAAGGGAATTCTTGGGTATGGTAGGTTATTATATGAGGTTTATTAAGTTATGAGGTTACTAAGTAAACCTCTAACAATCTTGTTATTAAAGGACAACTTCAATTGGACTGACCAAGCTATAGAGACTTCTAATACCACGAAGATAACCATGATCTGCTATACCAATACTTACCTTACCGGACCTCACCAAGGAATTCACCATTAAGACCGATACGTCTAACACTAGCATTAGAGCAGTTCTAATGAAACATGGGTACCCCATTGTTTACATTAGTGAGGCATTATTCCTTAGACACCAACCCTATCAGCATATGAGAGAGAAATGATAGCAATCCTACATGTCGTCAAACAATAAAGGCATTACTTAGATTATAAACGTTTCAAAATTAAGACCGACCATCCGGAACAAAAGTTATCCACTTTCAGCCAAGCATACTTGGTTAGCCAAACTTCTAGGGTTTGATCATGAAATCCCATATAAGAAGGGTAAAGAAAATATAGTAGTAGATGTTCTATCTAAAGTACCTAGTTCGGAGATTTTTTTCATGGATGTCTTTACCCTTTCATCTAATCTACTTTAAAAGGTCAAATATTCTTGGAAAATAAACTTAAACATTTAGAAGCTTCTAATAGACTTGGTAAAAAACCTTACTACTCATCCTAGTTACACATAGAAGAAGGGGCTCTAATAAGGAAGATAAAGTTAGTGATGGGTAAAGAAAGGCGAGTTAAAAACATATATATTGGGCTTGTTCCATGACACTCGCCGTAATAGGTCATTCTAGCATGATCGTAACAACTAAGAAATTAGGAGGGGTTTTCTATTAGAAGGGAAAACATAAATATGTGAGACAATATATAAGGAATTGGTCTATCTGTCATGTAAACAAACTAGAACTAGTTGCCACTCGCTGGTTTACTACGACTACTCCATATACCTCAAGTTCGTGTTTATTGACATTTTCATAGATTTTATTAAGGGCTTAAGAATTTATCGAATGAGAGATGTATCTCAATTTCTCGTAAATTCTTTTTCTTGGAGACTAAATTCATGTCATACTTGGCTTGAAACTTTGATATTGTACCTTAACACAACTAATAGTGCATGCTACAATGTTATTTTGCAATTCGAAGGACTTGGCAATCGCATCTTTTATTCTCTCCAAATACACACCATGTTCTAACTTCTAGGCCTTTTTAATAAATTTTTCAAATTAAAATAACCGAAAATCCATCGGACACTCATAGAATTAAAATTCAAAAGCAACAATAAAAGAGGCAATATGCTCATACTTAGTTGAAAAAGGATATATTGGAGCTACCGTAACTCGTCATCTCTTGGCATATCGTTTCAAAAGTTCATCATCACTTTTTCATTTGTAGAGGGTTTATCTCATTCTAAAAACCATCGTGACTCTAAACTCACCTGGATAAACTCAAAACTATCTTTACATTAAACTTGTGTTACTAGCTTATTATCATCTTATTTCTCATGACTCGAAGGTGTTCCCTTACTTATAGTTGGCTCGAAAGTAACATTGTACTCTTTTAACAAGAT